ACCAACTTCTTCATTGAGCTGATCTCCCGGAATCCTTTCTGTATCTTTCCATGTGGTGCATTGCTGTATTTATCACAAATACCCATGAAAATTCATCTATTCAAAGCCAGAATGGTGTTAACTCTGTGTTAGAGTATTTGAGTTAATGTCCTTCTAGTTCTAGATGACCTCTCCTTTCCTTTCTCTCTTTTTCTAGGTATTACAATGTAGAAATACATATTCGATTACAAATGATTTATTCTAAATTTAACCATCTATGTTATATATATTTGTTGTTGTTGCTGTAATCTTATGTAACAAAGAAAAAAAGGAAATTAATGTTTTAATATTGCAACGTTTTACAGTTTAAATCAAGGCCATGATATCTGTGTGTATCAGAAATTGATTCTGAACTCAATATTATGATTGAGCATCACATCTGTCATTTCCTGTAAATTATTCTGATAAAAAGCAGTATGAATTGTTTAATGATCTTGAAAAGCAAAATGGCATTATGGAGAGCTAGATGTAGGTGTATACAAAAAAATTGTTACAAATATGTTACATTCTTGATTCCTTACAAAGTGAAATTCGGTTATCATGTATATAAGTTTATCTATGATATTTTTCGTCCAAGAGTAGGTTGAAAGTCTGAATGCAAGATTGTATGGATGACAACATACATGGAAATGTACGTATATGGAAATCTTTTTCATTGTTCATATTGCAGTATTACAAAAAGGAACATTAATCTTGTATTTTAATCAGGACTAAATTCATAGCTTTCAAAAAATACATGTACCTTTACTTTTATTTAAAAAAAATATTTTGGTGATATTTAGTACTTAAAAATAACAATTCCATGGTAATTTGAGTGTTAACGATGAATTTTATCAGTCAAAATATGGATATACATGTATTTGTTTTGGTGTTGATTCAACAAATGTATTTCTGTTCATGTTTAGACTCTGTTTCAAATTATATTGATATACCTTAATAAAACATTTATACATGTATTCCCATTTTGAAATTGTTATTGTGAATATTGTAAATGGTGATACCAATTTTATGGTAAGATGTAGTATATTTCATTTTTCTCCGTTTGCTCTATTTTGCTTTTACTCTTTCTTTGTCTTTCATAGATATAGTAGGGCTTGGTTTTAAGTCAATTCCAAATTTAACCAGTTTTTTCAAAATTAAAAAAATATGACATTTAATCACTGAACAAGCAAAAAATATAGTTACACAATGGTGTTCTTTGCATTTACAATTTTTATTATGATTCTGAACACCCTCCTTCCCCAAAATGAAATTGTACACAGCACCATGAAAAAAAGAGAACCTCCACCAAGAAAATAGTAGTATTAAAGAATAACATACAAAATGTCATATTTCAGAATACATTATACATGTAATTGAATAATAATATAATATTTAGGATGTAGCGAAGAGAATTTCAAAGAAATTTACTGAGGAGACTTAATTTTACTGGCATTTGGTTGAATGATATAAATCCAGATATGAAATGAAAATGGTGGATTGATTTTGTTCATTCAGTAAAATAATCTATATTTTATAAAACCAATGACAGTTATAACAGTTACAGCAACTTGTTATTGATAAAAAGTTTATAAAACAGGGCCGTGGACAAAGTTAGTATGTTTACATGAATACCAGCATTCATATTTACGAGGGACAATCCATCATGGCTTCTTCATTTCGTTGAATTTTTGTATAATCCAGTACTGATACAGGTCAAAGAGTTCAAAATTCCATTGTTAACAGCAGCATAACACCATACAAAAGTACGTCGGAGTGAGAGAAAAACAAATTAGTGAGATGGAGAAGACATAAAGTTAGATGAATCACTATAGTTTCGTCCAAGATGAAAATTACTCAAAAACTGAAAATTGTTTTTTTTTCCTTAGTGAAATGGGTGAAAACATATTTTTCATTATTATTTGGGACACAGAAAAAGGGAAACAGTCCATGTATTACTTAACACATTGATACAGAGTTGCCAATTGTTCACTTTTTTGTCTTTGTTTGATTTATCTCACGTTTCACTAATCTCTTTTGTTTCTGATTTTTTGATTGAACTCTGATCAATTTTACTGGCCTGCAGATTGTTTAATTCAGAATTGTTTCCCTGCACATTCAGGAAAAATATTTTCACACATAACTTTTACAATGCAGAATTATCATACATATCACATTAATACTTCAGAGGCCATTTCAGATATCAAGCATGGACATGCATTACATCAGTTTTCCACTCTTCATTACTGGAATCTTTCCCCCAACTTGCTGTGAGATCATACAAATAATCTCAGTCCAAGCTTCAAAGCTTGTAAATGATTGGCAAATACATTAATTTGTTCAAATAATCTTGGAAAAATGTTCAAAGTCAATTGCAGAGAAACTTTTCCAGTAGTTCCTGTGAGGTACATTATTTGTCTCGTAGGAAAGTAAAAAGCTACATGTGTAGTAGTAAACCACAATGGCATTGTACTAAAAAACAATACTTGTACAGATTAATGAAAGTCTCCTTATACTTTTTCTGTCAAGCCCACTTTAAACTATTCTGCACTGATGACTTTATGATGCTGTGAATACTCCAATATCACAGTAAAATACATATGGAATATGACATTATTTAACATTGCAGCAAAAAGAAAAACATAATATTTTGCAAATCAAAAATAAAACCCGCTCCTCTGTTCTCTATACAATATATACATAAATTTAGAAATATGCAGAATCTGAAATATATATATATATTCATACATTTTTCTTCCAAGGCAAGAACTTATCTTTATATTTTTGCTTTTAAAAAGTAAAATAAGTGCAAACAACATTGCAGGCACAAAGAATGGTTTAGCAAATTTATACACAATTTTTCTTTATAAAGTGGCATAAAAATAATTAAAATGAAAACTAATGATGTTAGACACGACGAATTGCTAACGACTCTTTTATAATAACAAAAGAGAAAATGATGCTACATTGCTGGAAACTTCAAAATTTAAGCTTTTGGCTTTAGTTTTTCCATGTTACAATATAGCTTTCATTTATTTTCACTCACTAACATTGACATGAAGAGGGGAGTAAATTTATCAAATTTAATTTTCTATACACATATTACATAAAAAAAAACACCCAGTTATATGTGCAACAAACAATGTGAAAATGATATGAATATAATACTTAAAGTGTAAGGCTCTGTAATACATAGGGTACTTGACAAACGGGTAAACATTCTCGATGCACAGCACAACTTTGTGGCAAAAAAGCAACCTAAAATTACTTGTTTCAACATGAAGCTTTGCAAATACTGAAAGTTATGCCATGCAACAATATGATCAAATTTCTCAAAGATTACATAACTATCACACACTGCAAGGCTATGCAAGGTTATATTTTCTATCTTACAATTACAATAAAAGTGGTACTTTTGATTCTTATATTTAGTACTACTCTTGGATTATCATAAACATTATGAATCCTTTTAAAGTACTGAAGCCAAATTGTGAGAACATTGGATATCAGACACCTAATCAATATGATTAAAAATAAGTGTTTGGACTCTGACCCAAATTTGCTTTAAATCAACCACGTTGATATTTTTATGCAATACAATATAAGACTTCACTTTGACATAAACAGACATGCTCAAAATCAAATACGCATATGAGCAATAAAATAAGATAAAAATGGAAATACTCCATTTAAACAGGAAGACATGCAACAACAATCAATGGTGATAAAAATCAGAGGTTTTTAAGTGCAACAAAGGAAACAAAAATGCGTAAGGAGCATATCACAAATAATGCATCCATTGCTCCTTCTTGTATAAAACGCAAGCCTTAACAAAAATTGAAAAAAAAGTACATTTGATCATACCTACAAACCCTTTAAATAGTTTGCACTTTGATGAAAGAAAAATTGGGTTCCACTTGTAAGGGTAGTAAAAAGGAAATCTTTGGGATATTCCCCCCCCCCCCCCAAGTAGTAAAACTTTCCTGTTCTGTAGACAGTAAACCCTACCGAAGGGTGCAACTATTGCAATATTTTAGTAATATAAATAGCAACATGGTATATTAATTAAGTTTGTTCTCATAGAAATTATTGTTGTGCCAGATTTTGAAATGTAAGGGATTTAAAACTTGAGGTGTTCATGAAAGTTCATTCCGACTAATTGTTCGTAAACTTGGTAGTATAAAACAAATGGGCTGGGTAAGCGCTGAGGGCAAAGCAATCCTGCTAACTGCTCATTCCACCGGTCTATCCCAAAACTGATATAGAACCAGTCACATCTTTTCAAACATTCTCATGCTTAGTCTGTATACATGCATTAAGTACAAGATTTAAAGGTGTAATTCCATTGTAATGAAGCAATAGCAAAGGAAGCAGGTGCATTCGTCATGAGGACAGACTTGCTACATTTGTTACAGCATATGGAAATTGAACTCTATTCTGTTAAGCTCCTACATTTAGCCCGCATGCATTCAAGTGGTTTATCAATTATCTAAGCAATACATTGTATTGAAAAGTCCCTGTCTAGGAATCATATCAAAATATGAAAATAAAAGACATAGATAAACTTCATCATGTATTTTCTTCACAGAAAAATTACTAAAAACCTAGAAAAATCATTGTAGAACCGATAACAAGTCTAGGTTTTGCAACATTTGGTCATTAGTCATGGTGCCTTTGGTCCTCTGGTCAAGGGTTACGAGACCTATTGAAATCCTGATGGCTACATGTTGAGCCCTGAGAACCAAAGACCGGACCAAACAATTATTCCTGGTCCCGATAACTGAGCTTTGGTTGTGATGCAGTTTGTTCAGTAGTCCTATGTGAGCCCTAAACCAGCAGCACAGTCTGTGCTAAAATCCTGATGTGGGTATGTTGTACCCTGTCAGGAAATGTGAATCCATTTGTTCTTTGAAAATGCATGCTACCTTTAGTTCCGGGTCTTCATCCGTAGCAGAGACTAATCAAATAGACCTTTTGGTCTCGATGCAAGGCCAGACCAAGTTACAATATTCAACAAGATCAGGATCCTCAAAACATCAGGGGGGGCATTTCACAAAACTTGTCATCAGTGACAAATGACAGTTTTTGTTATAAGCTAGTGAAATCCTTGCTTCTGATTGGTTATCAGCAGATTTTTCACTCATGTTTGTCATTTGTCATTGCAAAAAGGCTTTGTGAAACGGGCCCCAGATTGTGCTTCACCTTCCTTCAAGGTCTATGAGCTTTCAATCCTTTCCAAGGAACTATCTGAAAAGAACACACTATCTCTACTCTGCACACCTGATCAGGACTATTCAAGCAGACCTATTGTCTTCCATCGATGCAAGGCTTCACCAAGTTCTACGACACATTAGATGCTAAGCTCCTACAAAAGTCTATATCATTAGGATCCTTTCTACATCAGTTACGATTCCTCATTCCTTCAAGGTAAAAGAGTCTTCGACTCCTACTGACTAAAGCGAAGAAATGGTTCCACTGGGTCATACCACCGCAGCTCCACATCCAGCCCGTGCCACGTTCATGTTGCTTGCTCGCGACCAGGAATCAAGATGGGGATCGTACACCTCAACGCTACGCAGCCGGTTGGTTCCATCATACCCGCCCATGACATAGATGTTGTTGTCGTAGATGGCAACAGCTGGCCAGGCTCGAGGTGTTATCATGGACCGGATGGAAGACCACTGCTGAGTTTGGGTGTTGTATCTGAGAGACATTGGAAATCAGAAGAAAGGTTTTAGAGCTACAATGAAAACACAGAAGAACAAAAGCTTCAATCGTTTATGGACAAGTTACTGCTACTTACAGCGTATTCAGTAGCAAACTAGAAAATAACTTGTTGCACATTGTGCGCACTTTCTACAAAAAACATTTCTTAGGACAGTGAAGAGCAATATTTGTTGTACTTCTGTAGGACACTTATTTCAACATTGGCATTTTAGAATCTACAGCTTTCTTATAATGTCTTAGGTGTGTTTCATTTCAAACCAACACATTTCTACATGGAATTCAATGAAGTCTACCTGTAATTGAGCACATACAGAAAATTGACTCTTGACTGCACATCGTTTTGTGTTCAAAATTTGCCTTTAACGTTGAACCCCCAAACAGTTTACTTTACAACCTCTCACCTTTCAGCTATATTGAAGAATTGATCGGTATGTCGTAACCGACCTCCGACCGCGTAGATATAATGATCCATAGCAACCAGTGCTAACCCTGACCTAGCTTTCTCCATCTCGGCTACAAAGTGCCACTCCTGAGTCTCTGGATCGTAGCACTCTACGCTTGCCCTCTCTGTTCGGTAGCTCTTGTCGTAACCACCTGGTTAATTAAAAAGGAAAAGTAAAGGGAATTATTTAAAATAGGCAAGATAATAATAGATATACTGTAGATCTATCCTCTAGAATTTAATGGAAGATTGGCGGTAGGCATCATATATCTCTATCCTTGCCACATCTAAATCTTGTATAGACTATGTGAGGGTTCCAGTCACGAACATGTTGTCATGGTAACCAAAAGTATTACCAGCGAGTCCATGCAAATTCAAGCACAAGGCAAAATCTACAAAAATCCAATTCTATTCCAGTAGAATTGAATTGAGAATAGAAAATTGGCAAAGTATGTTTCTTTCTTTTTGACATCAAAATCTTATCTGAGCTATGTATGAGATACTGTCTGTGAACATGTTGTCATGAAAACCAAGAACATTACTATTTCAGCGAGTCCTTATAAATCCAAACGCGAGGCCAAATACATACAAATCCAATTCTATTTCAGTAGAATCAAATAGAGAACAGGTACCTTATTGGCAATTTTTCTTTCCTTTCTACATCAAAAGCGTATCTGGACTACGTAAGAGTTTCCGTCTCAGAACACATTGTCATGGTTACCAAGAACTTCACATCATATGAATCCCCACAAATGCAAGGAGCTTTGAACAAAGTAATACAAGCCACACAGATAGTTGAGCTCTGGTTTAAAAATTAAAGAGAAACTGAAATAACTAAAGCCGGCTTCAAATTTCAATCTATTTTCCAATCATATTTAATGCATAATTAATGACTTTTGCGAAACTACAATGAAAATGGATCTGAGTAGTTTGGCTGATAATCAGGGGTGATAGTGAGCACTAAAAAAAAAAAAAAAAAGTTTTTTTGTTTTCCCCTCAACCACGCCGCCTTTGAGTAAAAAAATAAAAGAAGAGGATTCGCGGGGAAAGAATGGCATCTAACAACATTTCCCCCTTTCGAGTAAGAAAATTGGGAAAAAAATAGGGGAGAAAAGAGAAAATAAATAAATAAATATTTTTTTTAAATATCGGGAAGAAAAAAATTTGGAAAAAATTGGGAAACCGATTTAAATCTGTTTTTTAACGGGCCTGGATAATGCCTGTAGATTCACAGATAATGAGTCAAAAATGCAGCCAACAGAGAAAACTGCCATTATTATTCATGCCAGCATGGAAACAGCTGACAGCAATAATTATTATAGTAAGAACAGGTCGGGTATACAGCACCTACTCTATAAAATGTTATTTATCATCTATCCATCTGCCCATAATATCAGAATTATGCATGATGTGCGGCACTTGATCTGATCAACTGATCCTGATTGATTCAATCTGTTCCCAAACTGTCTACCTATCCTGCCTGCTCACTGCCCATACTTTTTTACGTAGGCAGAATTGTCTTTAATATACAGGGTGGCCCAAATAAAACAGACTAGTATACTTCCACTTATGCAGGGCAAATATCTATGGTACCAGTAGATGGGGAATATTTTAAGAAGAACAATGATACCAAATTTGCCCAAATTTGTTGAGTCTTTATTTTTCTAGACACATTTTTGTGAAACCATGTTGAAGTCATCCACTGGCAGTGCTTCTTGCAGAAAATACAGACCATTGTACAGTCTCAGAAATAGTATTACCGGTATACCTCAGTTTTGGGCAAGCTTTAATAAACGTAAGATTGAACACAAACTTAACATTACACGCACATTTGACTATTTTCAGGCACTGTCAATGACTTGTATAGACACAGACATGAAATTATATTAATTGTTCAGAATGCAGTTCCAGTGATACTGGAAAAATTTAAACTCCTACCTTGCATCATAAAATGCTCCCTGAAACAGAGAACTCTTGGCCAAAGTTGTTAATCTTTGAATCACATGATCTTTCATGTGAAAATTTCTTGTTCTGCTAAAACAAGTGAAATTGAACCAACACTATTGGAAATATGATAGTCCTGTCTTTTATTAGGCAACCCTGTATACCCTATCCAAAAGTTACACAGAAAGTTAATGATTGACTGAATATTATACAGTATAAATGATCATACCTGCAACGTAAAGTTTTCCATCGCAGACCGCTACGCCACAACCGCTTCTCCTCTGCTTCATAGAGGGCGCAAACGTCCAGAGATCGTTGCTAGGGTCGTAAACCTCCACTGCATTATGACTGCTGTTGTTATCTTCGCCACCTACAAAGAAAGAAAGGAAAACAGATTAAAATGATAAATACTTTATGAAGGTGTCCGCCCCCCCCCCCCCCCCCCCCCCCTGCAAGAACAAAAAAAAAAGAATTAAAACACACAAAAGAGAATGCTTTTGATTGATTATAACTCTACAAGTCAAACTGTCATGCACCTGCCCGATCATTTGCATTATGGGATGAACAATTGAACATCACACCAAATTTGAGAGCAATTCCCCCGATGCCTCATAATGGTTAATGTTTAAGCACCAGACAACTGAAATAATGTGCGAGTTCCATATCCAGGCCTTACCTAGTCAATGAGCGATGCTTTTAGAAAGAGGAGATAAATTTTGCAATGGTGCGACTTTTTTTAGCATGGTACAACCTCTCAAGCAGGCCTCGTAATATGTAAGGGTTTGTAATATGCAAGTACTGTAAAAGTAGAAATAACAGCGTTTACAGTAGTGCAGTCTAATGGCTGTGCAACAACCTCAATAAAGAGATGTTTGTAGCTTCCAGGTTTTCACTGATTTTTAAAGTTTGTTTGTTTGTTGTTTTATTTTTTAGCAGATGTTTCTGCATTCATTGATAAAGTAAATACAAAACATTCAAATAACAATAATAGTATATAATATAATTGATTTACATAAAGACTGAAAACTTAAATACACACACATAAAAATGCATATATTTATATATTTGAAAACTTGAAAGTATGGAGGTAAGTCAAAGAATCAAGATAAAAGCAGAGGCCAACTATCATAAGCATTAATGCTTGAGTCGATAGCAGCTGTTGATGCTGACTACTTCTAAATAAAATGGAAAAGTAAACAATCTGAATCCCCTTGATGAAACATCATCAAAATCTCACCTAGTGCATACAGAAGACCTCCCAGGCCGGCCACTGATACAAAGGACCTCGGCACACCTAGACAGGCTCCAGGGTTCCAACGTTTTAGTAGAGGATTGTAACATTCAACTTGACCTAGGTACATGGTGTCATCGTCATGGGAACCGTTGAAGGCACACTCGCCGCCGATGGTGTAGAGGTGGCCGTCCAGGGTGGCCACGCCTACTGCCGTTCTGGAGATCTCCATGCTCTCCTATAGTGATAAGATGAGGGCAGAGGAGACGAGAAGTGAAATTAAAGACATTATGAGAGGCCCCTTGATTACAATACCTTCATATTTTTATAGTTATCACACAATAATACATGTAGGTGTATCTAATGTGACTAGTTAGGACTTACGACATACATAATTTTTCTTGATCGTTACATTCTGCTGTCCATGCAATGTGACATATCTAATTGCCATGCTAAAAGAACATTGGAACGATTAAAACAATTCACTGCATAGCCACGACCTTTAATAGTCACTGTGAAATAACCTGCCCTCATACATGTTCAGCCTGGATTTGAAATTTGAGTGTCCTAATTGGAAAAAGGTGAAAATAGAAGGTTCAAAAGAAAGGGCATCAACTAAGTTTATTGGGCATTTTTGAAAGACATTTTGGGCACCGTTTGGCTTCTCAAACACTCTCTTAGCTAAAAGACTGCCCTTAGTTACCTGTGGTATCCATCTATTATGGACGGCATCGTATCGCTCACAGCTACTCAGCTGACAGTCCAGGTCATTCCTCCCACCAACAACATAGATACTTTGAGGCTGCGACCTGCTTCCAATCAACGCCAACGCCTGGTTGTCGTTCCTAATCCTCAAGGCATTAGCCACCTGATCCTGGCACTTAGAACAGCGATTTATCAGTTCCGATCTGTAGACATTCTCCAGGAGGTAGTCCTTCCCGAGAAGCGCAAACCGAACATTCTCCAGGACGCTGCAGCAGCAATGGCTGCGGTTTCGGAGGTCATAGTTCAGCCACGAAATGGCCGCCTCGTAGACTTCCTCCTCCCCGTCGACCTGGAGCTGGTCGCTTTTCAGGAGGTCGACGACATCCTGCTCAGGCATGAGGAAGAACTCTTCAGTCCCGACGACCTCCTGGAAGTGCTGGTAGATAAAGCGACGGGAGGCGTTCTCAAGGTCTCGACAAGAGTACATGTCAGCAAAAGAGTGGATTCCTGCAGCAGCAAAACAGATAATGTACATGTACATAAATATCTATCTGTACTATTACTTCTTTGTACTTCAATACACACTTTTTAATAGATATGTATTAAATTGACCATATCAAGCTCTTGAACAATTATGCACAATAACATTCATGCACAGTTGTAATAGAATAATACTTTTACTGAGGGTGGTTTCTTTTCCTCAATTTCTCCTTTCTCTTACTGAATCATTTTGCTATCGCATGTTTGGATTTCTCTCTCAGGTGAAAAAAATTACTCAGTGACAATGAAATTTTTCTTCCATTTTTCAAAGAGATACCGATGGTCACCAGAAATAAAATTTTCACAAAGAACAATAATGACATCTTATCTGCAGTACAGTGTATTTTCTACTTTTGAAAGTTGTCATGCTTGGGCAATAATAACAAAAATAAACAAGCTTCGTACCTGGTTTTTAAATGGATGTATTACCAAAAGCAAAAAAGGAAAAAAAGTATGAAATACCATCAAAATCAAAATATTTGTAGTACCCTGTATTTGCTATCAACAAACTGTTCATTGAGGCAAAAAGTATACAAATTCATGTTTATTGTTCATGTTGTTCTGCACCTAACCTTGGAATTCAAGTTATGGTTATAATGGGCATTCACAAACAATAGCCACGTCAGCTTTCCATACATAATTGTTGCTGGTCATGTCAGCAGAAGAGACCCAAATATAGTGCCCCAATGAATACAATTAATACAATTCCATCAAAAGCCCTACAGTATTTGTGAAAAGAGATAAATGTACAGATAAATTATGCATTCTTTTTTATTGTCTTCTCCATTTACATGTATCATCGAACACATAACTATCAGCAGAAAGAATAACTTGGACCATAATATCCAAAGCTATATGACAAAGGGCTTTGCTTAGTATTCTGAGTGTATAGTTTAATCACTCACTGGCGTGATACCCATTTGTCAAATACAAGTGCCCCAGTACATGTACATACACCATTCCTATGGGGATACATTGTAACGGTACATTGTACATTGTAGACGTAAGGTTTCTCTCTCGTCTGACAATGTCGTGTACCATCACCATCACTCAACCTTTCGTGTGACCGCACACACCGAGCTCAAGAGTGAACGAACTCTACAGCACGCTGGATTGCTGGTTACTTTATGATAACATGATGACATCATTTAAATACATGTATCCACATTCATTAATCAGCATGTTGACATTACTTTTGTTGGGGAGCTCAGAGTACAACCTGCAAGTCATGCAGTCATGTCGGTGTACGATTCTACAACACATGCTCCATTGACGATTGTGCCACAGTTTATTTCCTACACTTATTAAAAGTCCTACCTTTAACTTTAGACTAAACCTTTCCCATGCCTTAACCCTATATTCCTAAACGTAACCTAAAACCCAATTGCAACATTAATCCTAACGCTTTTATTTTTTACAAAATAAAGCCGTTAGCAAATGTTGCTGAAGCAAGTATCACCACAGCAAATGTCTGATCACCTATTAACGACCATATTTAAGCTTTATTCACACAGTTTCATGCAGTAAATCTCCTAAAACTGTAACAGCAAAATATGAACCATTCTATGAGTAAATGAAAGGCAAGTGAGGTAAAAAAAAGAAAGAAATTTAGCTGCCTACAATAGAGACTCTTTACGCATTAGCACTTTTACGTGTGTCTATCAAAAGATATCATATTATGTGCTCATGTGCTTATGTTATTCAATTTTGGCATGGCAGTTTCTGGAAGCAGTTTATTGCATCATACATGGTAGAGTAGAACAAGTATGAAAATTCAAAAGGTTGACCTACCAAGGCAGTTAGTGGCATCAAGCTGGGACTGAAGGAAAGTACTACAAACATTACGTAGACTACCCATGTTCAGCATACTGGCACCGGCGAGCACGATCTGAACATTCTCCACGTCGATTTCAATCGTACCCGTGTAGATGAAGTTCAAGATGATTTCCATGGCAACGGGGTCGATGCCCCGTATCTCCACATGACTTTTCGCAGATTCCAGCATGCCGTTGGTGAACATGGCACGGAGGTACGGAGAGCAGCCCGCGAGGACGATGCGGTGAGCGTGGAATTCCTGGTCTTCCACGCAGAGGACTATATCGCAAAGTTCATGTCTACGCCGCAAGTCGTTCATAACCTGCATACAAGGGGTGAACAAAAGGAAAATGAAGAGACTTACAATTTACAAAACAAGTTTTACTATTCTTATTCTAAAAAAACCTCTGACATTTCACAACCCTGTTTCTCTCAGATGTTGGCTTATGCTTTGTACATACCGTTAGCATGAATTTAGATCATCAATTGTCAACTAACAAGCCATTCTAAATAAAACATCATACCAACGCAACAACAGGAATAGTAGACACCAACTTTTTCAATTTTTGAGGTATTTTCTATTGAGAGAATACCTCCAAAATTGAAAAAGTTGGTATCACCATTGACATGAGATAAATTCACCATGTTTTTTTCAAGCACATACACGTTGTAACATTTGGGGGTTGGAGGAATCTTTAAGCCAACAAAGATTTTGAAACAATCATTGTTTCGTCTTTAAACAAAGATAAATTAGGGTACCTTGTGTCTGCGTACATTCATTTTTTAATAAAGAATTATAATGAGTGTCTTAGCACTTGAATAATAGTGATTTTTCTGTTGATGTTCACATGAAAGCTAGGGTCTTTGACTTACTTGGAAGGCACTGTTGATGTGCACCGTGATGGTATACGTCCTGGAGTGAATCATGCTGGCTGGCTGCTAGACTTCAACATACAGTCTCTTACTCAAAATCTATCCTTTGCATCCAGTCAGCAGCTGCTTCGTCTCCAAGCTCCTCGACGATACAGGCACTTAATCAAGATCTCCCCACATCAGGGTGGGGTGCTTCGTGGAATAGAGGTAGGGGCAGGGAGGGGGCCTAAGGTGTGATTGGTACTGCCATGAGATGTCCAAGCAGTGTGTCAAATTGGATGAACAGTTGCGATGTATTTTGTCTTCAACAGAATCCTGCAAATGTGGATAAAGTAAAATAAAAGAAATAATAATACAGAACACTGTTCTTTAAAAATTCTGCCGGAAGTACTGGAATAAAAGAGCATAATTTGTATGATAACTTGAAGAGCTAGAAGTGTTTATGGATCTAATCTACATATTGAAGAACTGAAAAGACACATTTGTAAAAGTAATTTCACAGACCAGTAGATTGATCATCACAATATGTTTACAACAATCCCTAGGGATTCAAAAGTGCAGACAACCATTGAAAAGAGAGAAACAAATAGATGAGGTCAGAGAATGATTCGCTCTCCTAAACTCTTGAAAAGGCCAACACAAATGAAAAACAGAGACATGCACAAAAGATTGGAGTCAACTGTGTCTCAAATAACCACAGCAGTCTGACTTAAAAGTAACCATAACAAATAGAATATAATCTTTTTAATGAGTTTAATACTTGCAGTATTTGTGAAAATTGTTCAGCTTTAAATTCTCAAATGAAATCCATTTATTTCCAAGAAATGAAGATCCAAACATTAATAATTTTAATGTACACTGTACATTGTAAATACTCAGAGCCCAGATGTACATTCATTAGACTGCATGAAAGAATACTTTGAGCTTTGAGTGAATATACTGTATGCACAACAGAAATGTATAAATAATCCAAAATATCTTAATGTGATACCAAATACTGACGTCAATTGCTATCAAATGCTCTGACAATGGGGCAATCAATACATGACACACAATCTGTGAACAACGTGTTCCTTCCCTTATCCAGGCTGCGTCAACATGGGGAGTTTTTAATCACGATTTAAGAGTTAATCACGTTCCGATATCCCTGTGGTGTGGGAGTCTAGCGCTCCGATTCTTAGCAGTCCAAGATATCTCGCTCTGTACTAAGTACTACGTGTAGGTAGTAAAAGATGCTGATCAATTAGTTTTTGACATTTCAATTTATATAAGATTATCTGGGGGAGGCTTTGCTTCTCCATTTTTTCCTGCTGTCTCCTCCTCACCCACTCCCCCTCAATGCATTTCTATAATTTACTTTGCAAGCTCAGAAGTGTAGCGTATGAGATTTCACATCATACGTAAAGAGACAAGGAGTGGACCTTGTATAGCGAATCATGATTAACATACTTTTGTATGGGCAAAGTCTACACACATGTCTACTAAACTTTGATCCATTCTAAATTTATGGTAAACAGGTGGCATAGACTACATGATTACAATGTGAATGTAAACTACAAACACCAGTGGTCCATTTCACAATATTGTCTACATATAAGTTCATGGATATCCCCTTCCAAAGTTCATATCAAAGTAATACACATTACAATGGGATATCCTCAAACTTAGATTTCAATGTAAGATTAAATTGTTGGATACACCCTAGATAGTCTTAAATGCATAGTACACTTTGATTTGAAATGAACAAGGAGGGACTGTGCGTTCAATACCCCTAAGTAATTTGCAAAGACTGCAAATGCTTGGAGTTTGACTGTTGTCGTAATATATTGACACCTCTAAAGGTGTCTTGATGTACGCAATGAGACCACAACTGATGTAGGGATACCTGGATATACTAAACACGATGGCTTGTATACGAACACAGATGATAAATGACTTCTGGCATTTTCACACATGCCACAGGAAACCGCAGCAGTTTACTGTGACATCATTGACATGTTTTTGGGGTTAGTTTTAAGGAGTGAATGATTAGCATGCGGGGACGAATTACAGTTGCTTTACATGAGAAAGGTCCAACACGTTCTCATTATCTGTGTGTTATAAAAAACAGAAATGCAAAGGGTACTATGCTTTAATACGCTGTTATAAAAACACTGCAGTTTACCATGTCGTATGTGAACACACCTTTATTCATCCATCCATCTGAGCATTCAGAATGGTGGCAGCGGTGGGATTTGAACCCATGTCTTTGAACCATTATATTAAAGTGAGCAAAGTAAATGTGAAGTGTATTAAGCTTAGTTTAATACATTTTATAAAAAACACTGCAGTTTACCATGTCGTATGTGAACACATCTTTATTCATCCATCCATCTGAGCATTCAGAATGGTGGCAGTGGTGGGATTTGAACCCATGTCTTTGAACCATTATATTAAGTGAGCCGAGTAAATGTGAAGTGTATTAAGCTTAGTTTAATACGCTGTTATTAAAACACTGCAGTTTACCATGTCGTATGTGAACACACCTTTATTCATCCATCCATCTGAGCATTCAGAATGGTGGCAGCAGTGGGATTTGAACCCATGTCTTTGAACCATAATATTAAAGTGAGCCGAGTAAATGTGAAGTGTATTAAGCTTAGTTTAATACGCTGATATTAAAACACTGCAGTTTACCATGTCGTATGTGAACACACCTTTATACATCCATCCATCTGATCATTCAGAATGGTGGCAGCGGTGGGATTTGAAGCCATGTTATTGAACCATACATGAGCCAAGTGAGCCGAGTAGCGCACTTTTCGCACGATTTGCTTTACATACGCGAAGACCTACAAGCGCTGACATATGTGAGGTTTCACCCATCATGTTAACTTTATGCTTTATCCATCAAAGTCATTGTGAAGCATTGAACTAAAAGTAGATGCAACAATGGCTGGGCAGTCTTTTAAAGGTTAAAACATGTTCACCTTGTCATGAAAGTATTTCATGTGTTAAGCTGATAGCCCTAGTACAGGTAGGGCTTGAATCAAACAACACATCCGATGAAATTATGTTTTTCTTGTCAATTAATGTTCACAGTTCCATATTACAATTCAATATCTGCTAACTCATGGTATATGTACAATGTACATGAACAATGTACTGTACCTTGGACCCGCCCATAAACATCTTGACATACTGTTCATGAATGCTGTCAAGAAAATATTTGAATTGTTCATCAATATTTGAATTGAATCTTCATAGAATTTACACTGTACAAACGAATCTCTGAAAGCTGTACGAAAAATCATTAATATTCAGTAAGGGATATTATTTGTTGATTTTCAATAACAAAATAATGGGAATTCTATCTCTACATGTATCTAAATTCTATGACCTGGTCAATATATTCTATCATCTAGGGACCGCTTAATGTACAAGTGGACATGTACAGTACGTGATTCCAACTTGGCATTCACGTAATTTCTTCAAATCAGAAGTAATTGTTGTTACAGCTTGTTCGTTGTTACATCACTTGATTGATACTTCAGTAATCAAGGAACAGAGACACTATGACAAAGACATACAAAGAAAAGGCGAACTTCATAAGAAATAAAATAATGAATTTTGTGAGTCTTGCTCTTTGTTATTGATTGTTATGACAAACCAATCTCAATGCCAACTATTGTTAGACATTGTTGATCTTTGTTCCTCTCATACTGATTCTTTATGGCCATACTCCAGTGCACATCGAGTGCAAATGAAAAAGAAAAAAATCTAGAACATATATCAGAGGATATACATGTAGATTATTTTCTGAGTGTTAAAATACAAAGTGAATAAAATCCAAATGGCATAAAAAAATAAAATTAAGAAGACACAAATTGAGCTCCAGAACCTCGATTCATAGAAAGTTGGATATACCTGAATATCATCAAGTATATTCAAGTTATTTAGGACAAGTTCCATTTCAGAAAATCCAATTGCAATGCAAGGTGGGTTTATAGCCTTCTATACTATCCATTGTACGTGAAACTGAAAGGAAGAAAAAAAAAATCTCAGTATTGCTGAATCCATAACTAGTCTTTCATGGCATGATAAAATTACACAATAATGTGTGGGAATCTTTTACTTTTAATTGCCACAAGAAATTGACCTATTTCATTTGATGAGGATTATTGCCCCAGATTGCAGACAGCCTCTCGGCTGAAATCAAATTCTGAAGGGCAGCAAACACAAGAGTGAAGTAGCAAGAGAATAAAAGAAACAAATGAAAAGAAGGACAAAAAAAAAGAAGATGAAGAAGGAGAAGAAGACGAAAAAGAAAAAGATAAAGAAGAAGAAGAAGAAGAAGAAGACAAAAATGACAGCCCCATAAAGTTTACACACTAAAAGTGAAAAAAGAACTCTCACCACAAACCTTGTGCATTAGACATAAATTGATTTTTCATTTATTTTGCTGTATGCAAACAATTTATGCTGGAGTGCAGTCCTGCTTTTGAACAATCAAATTACACAACCATGAATTTGGCATGCCTGATTTGTGAGACATGTTTTCTCGTGCATGCACAGTACATTTGTACATCATCGATTCGGTATTCTTTTTCAACTCATCCAGCTTCCTGCTTTGGAAGGCGCAATCAAACATTGCATGTCAGTGAAATTGTGATTTATAAAATGATGTTCCATGTGGACTTTGCCTCTGTTGAATCTGTTCAGATTGATATCTTAAAAACCCAATTATTGTTTTTCATTTCAAAAAGTGTTTGAATCTTTTCCTTCTTTTACATCATTCACGTAATGTGCATGCATGTAAGCATTTTGAAAGAATGCAAGGATGCTATCAAACACAATATTTGTTGGTCTGCTTGAATTACAATGAATGTTTAGCATTTCACTAATGCCGTTCAATTAGTTTTTGACATTTCAATTTACATCAGATTATCTGGGGGAGGCTTTGCTTCTTCATTTCTTTGTGCTGCCTCCCCCTCATCCCACTCCCTCTCAATGCAGGATCATTTCTATGAAGATCACGAGAAAGATGAGAGAGAGAGAGAGAGAGAGAAAGAGAGAGAGAGAGAGAGAAAGAGAGAGAGATGGAGAGAGAGAGAGAGAGAGGGAGAGAGAGAGAGAGAGAGGGAGAGAGAGATGGAGAGAGAGAGAGAGAGAGAGAGAGAGAGAGAGAGAGAGAAAAAATCAATGTGTTGTGAAAAAAGAATAATAACAAATCCTTTCGAAGGGCACCACACATCTTATGATCTGCATATATATCAGTCCATTTTGGAAGAAATAGAAGTAGATATTACAACTTTTGAAATGTAAATTAATCCTGAT